ATTAACAAGCCATTGATGAGATCTGATTTCAACGAAGAAACTGTTGAAGTCGAAGTCGAAGTCAAAGAAATTGTTGAGAATCCAGTCCAAGTAAAAGTTGAAGCAGATGCTAACATTCCAGAGACTTTCAAAGTCGAAGAGAGTGTGGCTAGCACAAGACAAAGACCTCAAATAACTAGAGTTCTTCCAACGATACTTCAAGACTATGAAGTAACTGGTGATGATGAAGTCACACTAGATGGAGAACTAGTTCATTTTGCTTTACTTGCAAGTGTTGAACCAATCAACTATAGCGAGGCTTTAAAGATTCAACAATGGAAGTTATATATGGTCTAAGAGTTACAGTCAATAGAAAGAAAAAACACATGGGACTTAGTCGAATTGCCAGCACAGACAAAAGTTATCAAAGTAAAGTTAGTGTTCAAGTTGAAACACAATGCTGATGGGTAGATAGCAAAATATAAAACAAGATTAATAGCTCGAGAGTTTCTTCAAAGAGAAGGAATCAACTACTCTGAAGTATTTTCTCCAGTAGCAATACTGGAGACTATTCGACTAGTGGTAGCATTGGCATGTAACCAAGGCTGGTCAACATTTCACTTAGATGTGAAGTCAGCATTTGTGAATGGTCCTTTAGATGAAGAGGTCTATGTCACATAACCTCTTGGGTTTGTGATTCAGAAGGAAGTGAGTAAATTATATAAGTTGCACAAAGCGCTCTATGGTCTCAAGCAGGCACCTAGGGAATCGAACAAGAATATTAACTCATACTTAGTCGAATTGGGATTTGTCAAAGGAAAATATGAGTATGGTGTCTATGTTTAGGTTGTAGCACAAGATATAATAATCATCAGCTTAAATGTCGATGATTTTATGGTAACTGAAAATAGTTTGGAGAACTTGTCGAAGTTCAAAGAGCTAATGAAGAAGGAATTTGAAATGTCAGATATGGGAAAATTGTCTTATTTCCTAGGCATGTAATTTCAAATTTCGAAGCAAGGGATGGTGCTACATCAAAGGAAGTATGTCAAAGAGATAATCAAGAGATTCAGAATGGATGATTTGAATCCTGCATCCTCACCTATCAAACTAAATGTGAAGTTGGAGAAGCACGAAGAGGAAGACAAAGTCGATGTAACTTTGTTCAAACAAATTGTGGGATCTCTGAGATATGTGTGCAATAGTCTACCTGATAATGATTTCACAGTCAGATTTGTGAGCAGATATATGATTGAACCAAGGGTGTCACACATGAAGGCTTCAAGAAGAATCCTAAGATATTTGAAGGGATCGATAAACTGTGGAATACTATTTCGATGAGACTCTGAAAGCAAAGAAGTGACAGTTACTTGTTTTTCAGATGCTGATTAGTGTGGAGATAAGGAAGATCGAAGAGGCACAACTGGATATTTCTTTCAAGTATTTGGTGCTCAAAAAAGTAACTTATGGTGGCATTATCATCATGTGAAGTTGAATATATATCCGAATCCTATGCTGAATGCCAAGCAATTTGGATCAGATCTGTACTTGAAGAAATGGAGGTCAAAGTGAAGAAACCTCTTATGTTGCAAATTGACAACAAGTCAAACATAAATCTGGCGAAGAATCCAGCTCTGCATGGAAGAAGTAAGCATACCGAAGCTAGATTTCACTTCTTGAGAGAAAAGGTAAATCAAGGTGAACTTGAAGTTAGGCATTGCTCAAGTGAAGCATAATTGGCCTACATTTTCACCAAATGATTAAAGATCGGCAGATTCCTGAATTTGGGAAAAAAATAAGGAATAGTTCAGATTGACTATTTTTGAGTATGTTCGATAACTTGGATTAAGAGGATGTGTTGAGATATTAAACCTAATCCAAGTTGTGTAACCTAAGCCCAAGCCCAATTAGGGTTTGTTATCCTACTTAGTGTATAAGTTAGTGTATACAAATAGTCATAGTTTATATCATTATTTGTATAATTCAAGTGAATAATAAAACCCTTATTTCCTTATTATTCTCTCTTTCTCTCCTCACTAGAAGTGCCTCACGCACTAACAGATAGATGTAAAATTATGCAAGTGTGAATGAAAATAATACATGGATGCGACTTAGAGTTGTTGGGTGATAATATGGTGTAAGAAAACAATTTAGAGGGGAGGTGGTGAATAAAAGTTTTGAAAACAAACCAACCGATTCTTCGAAAATGAAATATCGAAGGTTTTTCAGAGTATGTGTGCAGAAGTGTTAGAGTAAAATCGAGTGAATTATTCTTTAATAGAAATTAACACACGTAAACATGTAATAAATGTACAATCGATACCACTAGTATAATTTACAAGATATGATTATACAATGATTCAATTAGTGAATTCTAAATTCAACAAATTTCTCAGATTTTAATCACCACTAAAGTTCGATTAGGTCCCAATTCCAGCAAAACCTAATCTTAAGCAATAAATGACTATCAATGAAATAAACGATAAACTAATCTATAAATTGAAAAAACTAGGCATGCAATATACTACAAAATGTAAATGCAAGAGTAAAAGGTATAAAGATGACACAAAGATTTACAGTGCTTCAACTATGTCGTCCTCACGTGAGTCTACATGCACTTTTCAAAGAACCTACATAATTCCATTATCTTGATAAATATTCAAAGAGTTTATACTATCACTTATCCATAATAATGTTGAAGAAAATAAATCTTCAATTATGGATCTTGACTTGTATACGGCTTCACACCAAACTTTTCTGCATAATCTTTACTCGATCGACGCTTCAAGAATCTTTCAATATCACCAATTCTGCTCCAAGCCTTCGTCAATAGAAATAAACCCTTTGATTCAACTGATTCCTTGAGCATTAAATTGTCTGAAGATTTGAGAAGAACTTCGCCTTATCCATAGTCTTTCAAATAGTCATTACTAAGGCAATTTGGAGTTAAGAACCTCATTCTTTTCACCAGAATTTGTCAGAACTAGTGACAACTACTCAATCTTGCAACGACCTAAAAAATATTTAACTAATATCCAAGAACGGTTAGTTTCAAGACAACTTCTCCCCCAATAAATCACATATATCTCATTATCAAGATCTGGAACACAAACTGAGGTTAAGAAGAAAAAGATTCAAGTTTAAGAACTTTGAACTTTTCAAAGTGAGAGAGTTAATTTCATAGAAAATCACAAATGAATACGAAAAGCTATCATAAGTTCATTTGTGCTTGAGTTTAAGCACAAAAATGAGTGATAAAATTTGGCTTGATTCGAATAAAAAACAATGCATGTATTGAGTCAAGTGAGCAAGTGAAAGGAATAAAAGCAATTCTTACTTTTGACCCATTTTTCACTTAATTCGAATCAAGTAAATATCTGATTCGAATCAATGACCCCGTGATTCAAATCATGTACAAATTGTGATTTGAATTAACTGCTCAAGGCCCTAAGAAAAATGTTGAAAAACTATGTGACTCGAATCATGTGCAAAAATGTGATTCGAATCAAATCGGGTCGTGGTGACAGAAAAATAGCTTGATCCGAATGATGTACAAAACTTGATTCGAATTAAATTATTTTGAAAAGTTGTTATTCACCCATGTTGGATTTGATTCGAATCATAATGAGTGTGTATCTTGATTTATTCAAATCAAACACTCAAAAACTCAAATTTTCATGATTCAAAAGATATTTTGAGATCAAACACATATAATTTTTATTCCACAAACTCATGCAATTGACTAAAAATATCTTGATCAAGTTCAAACATAATCATTGATTTATGCATGCTAAAATGATAACGAAACGATTTCAAACTTGATTCAAAAGACGTGCAATCATGAGGGAGACTCAATAAAGGATAATAAACAAAAGCGATAAGACAAACAACAAAATAATTGTATCGGGGATGCTCCCCTACATATGATACGAACATGTAACCATCTTCCCCTAGGGATGTGTATCTATGTTATCCCCTTTTTTGATGTTTGGCAAACTTTCACTTGTAACTGAGTCGACTTTGAGCTAATTGAAAAAAAATGCTTGTGCTCCCACTAAAACATTGCACACATAGACCACAATATAAAAAAGTATAAAGGAATTCTAGACTCATTACAACTTTATCCCCCTTTGACAACATCAAAAAAATATACCAATTGTTATGGATCTAGAAACCCAACAACCAAACACAACAAATATAAGAAAATATAAAACAACGAAGATAGGATACATAATAAGAAGATAACATGCTTCAAGCAATAAAATGCAAAATAAACATGCAACACAATTGTTCAACAACATACAAAATGTGATCAAAACTAACTTGAAATGGAATGCAATAACAACTTAAATAATGCATGAATAAGTATATCGATGCTCAAATGCACATAATTAACAACACACGAGCTAACTTTTGAAAAGGGTCCAATGACAATGGTTTTGTAAAGATGTCAGCAAGCTGGCTTTTAGTGTCAACATGTTCAAAAACAACATCCCCTTTTTCAAAATGGTCTCTAAGAAAATTGTGCCGAATCTCAATGTGTTTAGTTCGTGAATGAAGTACCAGATTTTTAGTGAGGCTAATCGCACTAGTATTATCTGTCATCCCCCAAATTTATCCGCCCTATTGCTAACAGTCAAATTATTTTCAAACTTGAATTTTATAAAATTCTTTTGATTTATTTACACTAATATTTTATTTTTTATAAATATTTGTTTTCAATTTATTTTGTCTATTTAAAAAGTATATAGTAGTTTATTTTATTTCTTAAATAACAAATACTTGTTTGTATTCATATACTTTCAATTGCCTTTTTATTTCGAATAAATAAGATTACACAATTGATAAAAAATAAATATATGATCATGGATTCAAATCTCGTTCCACTTTAGCTTCTATCAACAATTTTTTTTAACCTTTCTTCACACCCTTTTTTAAAACTCTTTCAAAAATTGTTACCCTTTCCATCAATCTTTTTGACCAATGATTAAAATATGAGGCCACCCTCTTTATATTCAATTTTAATTAGTTTGATCAAACCAAATGATGATGGTTCCTTTATTTTTATTAAATCTTTGAGCCCAATTTTTTCTAACCATAAAACGTTCACAATAATTTCTTCGCATCTTTACAAAATTCTTATTTTGAACATTCACTAACCAGACACTTTGTACATATTCTACGCATAATCTTCCACTAAAAAAACGTTTTGCAGGAGAAGGAAAGAACAATGAAGCAAGAAAGAATAGTGGAAGAACTCAACACCGTAAACTTCGACCTTTTCTCCTTCGCCGAAGAACGAACTGCCGCCGTGAGATCTATCATTTCCGACAAAACTACTGCAGAACCGATCACCGGCGACTCCCCTGGCTCTTCTTGAAACCTCCACCTGCATCAACAACAACATAGCTCGTTCCGCCGACATCAACCGGATCTGCAGAATCACTGCGTGCATCACACATCCCACCGTCAACTTCGCAGATCCTGACGCCCCAACAACCACTTGCCGCCGCAGCAGGCCTACCAGTTGCCGATGCGCATGATATCTAATGATACTCCCTCCGATTAGAAACTCCAACCACCCCCTCCATCATTCTCTGCCCGCACCCGCCATCTGACCTCAGTTTCCGATCTACATCTATCGTCGCGGCAACAATCAGCCACCACCACTACGTAAGTCTCTTCCCTTTGATTTTGTGAGTTATTCATTTGCATATGTTTCTTTGAATTGATATGTAAAGGAAGAATGAAAGAGAAAGAGTGAATATTGAAATGTGAAAGAAGAAGAAGTGTATGTGGTTCTGCTTTCACGAGTCAGAAGAGATAATAAGTTAAGTTGTGTTGTTCCTCTCTTTTTCTAATTCATTATTGTTCTTTAGTTTTTTATTATTATTTTATTTATCAATTTCCACGTGTCATCTCCCTATTGGATGTGGAGAATGGTTTTTTATTGTTTAATTACTGTTGGATATTGAAAGGTAGATGTTGCATCCCGTGTGCACCGATTGTTTTTTATTTCAATTATACTATGATCATATGTGTAGTGGTAAAAAATGTAAGAGTGTAAATCTGAGATCGAATTATTAATTAACTCGAATCGTAAAAGTAAGAGTCGTCACCACGTTTTATTATTTTCAAGAGAAAAGGGAAAATAGCGAAATAAAATCCTTAAATATGCAATGTAAAGTAGTACTTAAAAGTAATGAAAATACAATGTATTTTTTGAAAGAGGTTGAAGGTTCGAGGGTTGGTTATACAAAGGGAAGATACTAGCACTCAATGCATCCGCGGTACTCCGCAGGAAATTTTTGAAATATTTGTTTTTGGTTAAAATTGTTTGTTTGGTTAAAATGGATGTGAATGAGATTTTGGAGATACGACGAGCTAATGTCGAAGTTTTGACTTGAAAGGTGTGAGTTTTAAAATTGAGTCTTTTAGAAAAATTAACTTAAGTTTAACAAAAACTAAAATGTATGAAGGAGTTTCACACAATTGTATAAGATATATTTGATGACATGAAGTCAACAAAGTTAAAATATTTCCCATGGAATTTAGACGAACGAAAGATATAAAGATTAAATGATGAGAATAAAGTTAAATAACAAAAATTAAATAGAAGACTAATTTATACTGGTATGTATTTTGAACAATTAAATAACAAAAATTAAATAGAAGACTAATTTATACTAGTATGTATTTTTGAACAATTAAATAACAAAAATTAAATAAAAGACTAATTTATAATAGTATGTATTTTTGTATTTATGATAAGGGATAAATAATAAAAATCTAAACTAATATTTTTATGTATATTAAAATGAATTAGGGTAAGAATACTAAAGCTTGAAAAAAGGGTAAGAATAAGGGATCGAACCCAAGTCTCTTGGGTTGCCACAGATATGCCTTGCCACTGAACTACATTTTTTATTTGTTATATCCATGCTTTAATTGAAATAAAAGGCGATGATGATAATGTGATTGGGCCAAGAGGCCCATTGGGTCGACCCGGTTTGGGAAGAGAAAAGGAAGGGTTTTTGAAAATCCTAAACAAGAAAAAGGCACCCGATTTGTGGTTATTGGGAAGGGAAAGAATACAGATTTAATTCGATTCCCAATACACCCTATTTTCTATGTTTACCGTGAAAAAACAAAATTAAAACTCTCTCTTCCCCATTCAAAACTCTTCATCTCTCTATCCTTGTTCTTTCCACGACTTTCTCTATCTTTTTTTCTATCTTATATATCAGCTTTTAGAAATCATGAAGTTTGTCATGGGAAAAAAAGAGGCGGATATTGACCGGTTCAGGTCTGAAATTGAGAGAGAGGGTTTTGAGGTGCCATGTTGGTCACTGTTGAGATAGAGTATCAGAAGTTAGCATGGAGATGGGGGGGGGGGGGGGAGTATGGTAATGTGTTGAAAGATGAAGGGTGCTTCACAGTGAGGTAAAGCTGGTGGTGAGGTGAAACGCGACAGAGGGAGGTTGATTCGCGAGCGGAAAAATGGAGGTGCTTGAATGGGTTGATGGCGGAGTGCGAGAGCGAAGGAGGGACTGATGGTGTCCATGGGTAGAAGGTGTAACGAAATGAAGTAGCAGGTTCAAAAATGAGGCTTAGTTATCTGAACGGTAGAGGGAACGATCGTTGGGAATTTGTGAGTTGGAGTATGAAGACGATAAGGGTTAGCGTGAGATGAATCAATTGGGTCATGGTAATGGATGAAGGGACTGTGTTCAGACAAAGAGGGTATGGAGATGGAGGGAGTAATCGCAGATAACTAATGATGATGATATCACTGGCTCGCTGGCCGGAGGTTGCGGGTTTACTGTTATGTGATGAAAGGTAACAGACGGAGGGTATTCAGAAAATAGACTGAAGAATGGGGATACGGTTGGTGAATCGCTGAGGCAATTTTTCAAGTGGTCAGTGGAGATGCTGGTTGGAGATTTGAGGTGACGATAGTATTGATGTTTACAGGCAATAGTTGGAATTGAAAGAGAGGTTGAAATGAAGAAGGCTGTTTGAAGTAGGTTTATTGAGTTTTCGTTTTTTCCTGTGTAATTTTTCTGGTTTATTCTCTAACATTTTATAACATTTACCAGTTATAGCAATTTTCAGAATATATATATATATATATATATATATATATATATATATATATATATATATATATATATATATATATATATATATATATATATATATATATATATATATATATATATATATATATATATATATATATATATATATATATATATATATAAGGTTGCAATAAATCAAGCATTCATATGGCATAAAGAAAATGATGCAAAGAGAATAATCAACTATGTAGTGAGGGTAGCGTGCAAGCGGGGCAAAACGGATACTGATGTGCGAAAGTAGATTATGAGAGGATTATGCAGAATATAATGAGGAGGAATATACCTATCGGAGTCTCTCTGAGGGAGCTTCAAAAATAGTAAGTTCTCCCTCCCTTTGTTGATACTCAAACTTCTTTAACTCTGATTCTTGCTGTGATTCTTGAACCAATTTTTCTCCTTTTTCTCTCTACCCCAAAGTGGCTGTCTTTGGTCTCCTTTTATAAGCATAGTGGAGTGGAATTGAGAGAGAAAATTGTAGAGATTTTGAACAAATATGAATGCCCTGTTTTGATGCTTTTTCATACAGTTTTGAGTTGCCTTTTTGGTGTAACCTCTTGGCTGTTATGATGTAGGGCAGCAGGCTGTATAACAGACTGATTTATAGCCGTTTTTTGGCAGAATTTAGACTATTGCAGGCTTCTATTTCTGGACTGGTTTGTAGGGAGTTGCAGCATAATATTGGGCTGATTTGTATTGTTGGACATCAAGGTTTAATGGAGCAAGATTTGAAGCTTTTAAAAATAACAATAGGTCTAGAATTTATATGTTTATGTAACATGAATAAAAACTTGTCTTGAATATAATTTTCTCTCAATTCCTTTGTAATTGTAAACACTCTAGATCATTTGAAACTTTGAATCTTTATATTCGTCTTGATGAAATTCGAAATATTCCACTTGAATTTGGAAAGGGTTTGATTGATACTTGAATGAATTTTTGAATAATGAATGAATAATGATGCATGCCTTAAGATCTCAATCTTGCATCTTGTATTCGTTATTAGAGATCCAAATTAATTACATGAATTGATCTTGTAATGAAGTTGTAACCATCATGTATTTATTCTTGTGATGAATGATTATTTGAATTAAGTTTCTCTTTTCAATATCTTCTTTAATAAATGCCTCATGTGAATTCAAATGGCCATGGTGTGAATCCATCAAAGTAATCACATAAAAGGTCAATAATGACTTTGAAATATCGTTCCCTTGAAAATAATCTTGAATAAATGCAATGTGAGGAATGATTTGAATCTTGAATGAGCCCTTTTGATAACTTCTATTTGGTTAACACTTGAATTCACATGATGAAAAACTACAAGTATTCTAAATAAATTCCTCTAAAGCAATCTTGAATTCAATCACCCCACTCTGACGAAATTCACCCCGCGTCATGTAAGTATAAGAAATCGAACCATATTTAAAAGCTTCGAATGATCACTAGAAGAGGGATTTGAGGTGAAAGGTTATCGCATTGAGATTTTGGCACAATGAACTGAACTTAGAGATTCAGAAACTCTTAAATCATGACAAACGTCCTATAAAGGCTTTTCATGGCTTTCTAAACACAATGTGTCTTCAACTTTTAAAGAAAACTTGTAGATGACTTTTGGTCGAAGTGTTTGGAATTGACTCGTATGGCCTGATTTTTCTTGTATTTCAAGGCAAGATGGAACACGCGTGAACCAGTGGTCATGGAACCTTGACTGTTTTTTTTTTGAAGAATTTCGGAGAAGCTTGAGGCCACTTGTTGAATAGAGCATGGAAATAAACACACAATTCTCTGAAAGTTCCTCGAAACAAGCTATCGCACTTGAGACATCCGTGATCAAAATGAGTCTGAACGATGTTCGAGACTCCATGCTCTGAGATTAGAAGTTAGTCATGCATAAGATATAACATTCACAACACTCATAATCTCTGCACAAGCAATGCTCGAAGGTGAGAAGTTCGAAACCGACCATATTTCGTGACGTTGATGTATATAAAAAAATGCAAATGAAGATGAAATCTTAGGTAAAAAATTAGGGTATGACAGCTGCCCTTATTTAAGTTTCTTCTATCCGGAGATATGAAGATTGAAATCTTCGTCTCGACGAGATTGAAGGGACTTAACTACAAAATACGCAATTTTTGGCCCTAAGATACCACCATTGTGTTTATGATATAAATGTAAAATTTGAATCTTATGGGGAATGATGCTGCATGAGACAAACTAATGCTGGAGAAATCAAGCACATGAAAAAATAATCCACAGGGGAAGAGATTATAACTCTACTGGAGAAACAGAGCCACAAACTTTGAATGAGAGACTCTTATTGGGGAATAACTTCGAGAGAAAACGATTTTCTGACTCTAACAAAGAAAACGACTTACATAGGCTGCAAAAAGATAGATGGTTACTGACTCGAGATGATGGTGAGTTTACAACTCAGGGTCAAAGGTAGACAAAAAGATACACCAACTTTTACTGATAGTGAACTACCTATTTTTACTGAAGGTAGAGGTTTCATAACAAACTTCTCTGCGGGACTTTCCGGAGAGATACCATTTGCTGCTGAAATAACAT